GATATAGCGTTGGCAGATCTCCCAAAAACAGATCATATGTGGAAGAGACTTTGGCTTTTTCCTTTTATGCCTTGTTTGTATTTTTCCCTGTCTAATACACTAAGGATACTTATTCAATGTATTTGCAACTCAATATGTTTTTGTTGTTCAGACACTAAAAAGGTATTCTAATTCTTAATCCAAGGGCATCTGGAGTCTGAGGAAGAGGTGTCTTCCCTCACCTCAGACGTGCAATACACAGCACGGAGTTTCTAAAAGTTAGGTACACTGCTCTCAGGCACCTAGAATTTTAATGTCACACAAGGCTTAGAAATTTGTAACTTCTCATAAGGCTTTGTTAACAAAATAAGAAGTTTAAAAGCTTGTCTAGGCAATCAATCAGACAACCAAAGAGGTGAGTAAACTGAACTTTGACATCTTAGGGATGTAAAACCCAATCTTGACATAAAGTGATACGCCTGGAGTTACTCAGGAAATTAGCACCCAGCCTGGCAGTCAAGGTCCTTTCTTATGACTATCCTCCAAGCCCTCTCTCTCCAAAGAGCATGTGGCCTCCTGGTTCTGAGACCAAATATGAAGATCATGCAGACCACGGCATTCCCAAATATTCCAGATCCAGTATTTACCATACCAATGAAAGGCTGAGAAATATACTCAAGTATTTGCACACATTAAGTGTGCTGCTGCTGTGGGATGCAGTGTCCCTGTCAGGTACTTGCCAAGAGAAAGTTACCAGGAGAAACCTAAGAAGTGTGCCTACCTAGCAAGGTCTGAGGAACACAACTAAGGCTTGGGACAGTGGTCTGTACAAACTATATACTTTGCTCACTTCTAGGGTGTATTTACACCTTGCCTAGTGTAAATATGGGAATCCCTGACCTAACCCAATGTGCTTCATTGTACAATAATTATAATTGCTAAAGCTTATATGGCAATTACTTTGTGCTAGGAAGAACTTTATATAAATACAGGGTTGGGCGAAAGAAGGTTTGCAGTTGTTTGTATGAAAAATAATACAATAATTAATGAATAATTTAAGAATAAAGTGTTTCATGTACTCAACAATTATAAACCTACATTTGCCCAGTCTGTGTGTGTGTGTGTGTGTGTGTGTACACACTAATTTATCCCTCACAACAATCCTGTGCAGTAAGTCATATTGTTAACCCCATTTTAAAGATGAAGCATAAAAAGGTCAAGCAATGTGCCCAAGTCCTAAGCTATTAAGTCATATTTTTTAGATTCAAAATAAGCAGTTTGGCCACAGATTCTGTCCTCTTAACCACTCTGATAAATTGAGAATGGGACTCCTAAATGATCCACATTCTCAAAACTAGTTTACCCAGCAGACTGTGTAACTGAAATCTCCTCATAATCTGTTCTTGTTTTGTTTTTAAATACAATATTTCCCAAAGTCCTTACTAAAATGAAAGTGTTCACCTAGGAAAATGTCGATGATGATACCCTTTGCTCTTTAACAGAGCTCAGCCCACTAGCACAAAGCCCTGTTGCCCTTCCAGTCTAAGTCACAAATATCTACCATTGTTTACTTCTTTTCTTTTTTCCATCACCATTTATCCTCTCTATGTAGTCATGTTTCATTACTAATTTCATCTCTCAGTTTCATGTTCATTCTCTTTCTCTCCCTCTGATCTTATTTCCTTCAAATTCTAAACTTCTGGTGCCAAGAACCCCCTACCTGGATTCCTATGTTTAACTCTACTGGATCTGCTATATGGACCTAGACCAGTGGTCGGCAAACTCATTAGTCAACAGAGCCAAATATCAACAGTACAATGATTGAAATTTCTTTTGAGAGCCAAATTTTTTAAACTTAAACTATATAGGTACGTACATTGTTATTAACTTAATTAGGGTACTCCTAAGGCTTAGAAAGAGCCACACTCAAGGGGCCAAAGAGCCACATGTGGCTCGCGAGCCACAGTTTGCCAACCACAGACCTAGACTATCAAATACTGGAATTGTTTCTTTCTCCAATAGACTGATTTGGCTGGTCTTTTGGATCTTACTGCTCTTTTTGGCTCCTCTATGAATCCCCCATTCCAAGTCTGGCAGCATGAAATGAATCCCTGCCCCTGATTGCATGATCAGCAGTCTAGATAGCCCGTAGATCAGCAATCTACAGGCCACCTTTTTCCTGAATTGTTTATTGGTATCAGGACATCCCAGTGGACCTGGCTGTTGCCAATGCTATGATTTTGATAGGAAGGTGTGCTAAAAACTTTAAGTTAAAACAAAACTGAAAAACAACTAAGAGAGATTATTTATATGTGTTTTTACATAAGCATAGATAGTTCACAGTTCCCCAAATTACAGTACTGAGTATCAGACCAGATAACAGGCCAGTAATACAGACTGCACCCATCACAAACTCAGATTATGAGCCTGTAAAGAGGAAATGGGGATTTCATATTTATTCTAAAAATTCTTTTTTTTACTGTTCTTTCATAGCTGAATAAAGCAGAATAAATAGCATATTCTTTCCACTTTCAGTTTTTACTTTTACAATGATTTCTGGGTACAATAGGTGGTATTATTATCATATAATAAAAACATATTATGTTTAGAAAGCTTTTTTGAAGGTTATCTAATGTTTCTCATATAAAATTCACAAATTTCAGGACACAAATATTAAGAAATGCCAAAGGAAAAAAAAAGAAAGACAATTAAAACATGGGTCCAGAAATGATCAAGGATCTCCCATCACACAATGATTTTGAACTTGTTAAAGTAGAACATGAACAAAATATTTTAAAAACATTTCTATGCTTTTTCTTCTAAAAACAAAATCAAGTCAATCATGTTTGTTAAGCCTATAAACAAAGCTTAGTTTATTCACAAATAGGATGTCCCATTCTCATTCTGGGACATTCTCTTACAAATGCATAGAAAAGGTTTTAAAACAGGATTACTTCAAACAATAATTACAGGTTACAAATGAAATTTTTAAAGAAGTTTATAAACTTTGTAACTTTAAAATATTCATGGTTTTATAATTGTTAGAAGAGTAAATTAAGGATTTTTAATTAAACTTTTTAACCTGAAGGCAAAAGCTGCATATGTGATTCAGAGGGAATAGGGGGATAATATAGTAATATTTGAGACTCAGGGAATAGAATGCCACCCACAATCAATGTGTTAGTACTGAGAAACAACCTCAGTGGTGCAGGACACTACGTTTTGAAGAGGCAAATGTCTGAAAAGGCAACTAGAAGATGATTACAATAGTTGCACTTAAGGGTGATACACAAAAAGACCTTTGCTTGTAAAAGATTGTAACAGTGGCCCTGGAAGAATTGTAAAGGCAGCAAGCTCTGCCAACAATAGATGTCAAGCACATCCTCCCTGCGGGACTCTCTTGACTCCCCACCCAAGTTTAAAGACTAGGTTGAATTAGATAAGAATCTTAGTGCTACTCATAAATCTATAGAGAAGATTGGTGGAGAGAAAGAGCAAATGATGGGCCACCATGGGTCCTTCTTACCTGACTATTAACTTTTTAAGGGCAGGGTCTATGTCACATGCATCTCTATGACAAAGCACAGACATAACTACAGTGCCTACCACTTACTTTGTGCTCAGTAAAGTTGAAGTGAACTAATAAACAAATTAAAAGTGAACTAATAAGTCAGTAGTTCCCAGAATAGTTGGAGATAGGCAACCATAGCAATTAACAAACCATATGGAATTGCTCTGGACTTTAGCAGTATTTGAGCCATATCTGAGTTGCCTCCAGTTTTGTAATCATTATAACAAACTGAACTTACTGGCCATTTTCACAGCTGTGTAAGCAGAATATCAAATCCAATAAAAAGATATAGATAAATAATACAATTTGAACAATGAAAGAAATGTAGATTCAGATTCAATAAACATTTTTTGAACACATTTGATAGTTACTTTCTATGTGCTAGGGTTAGTACTTAGCATTTTTATCTGTTTCAACACACTTGGGAAAATGAGGTTGAAAAGGTTAAAAATATGTTTCAGATAACATAGCTTATAATCAATATAGCCATGATTCTAAGACAGATGGTCTGATTATCAAGCCTAGACTCCAGTAAACCACAAATGTTTGGGGATTGGGGGTGTTGGGTAGGGATTACAACTACTTTATGACAATGACTTCATACATAGTCTTCATGAAGTCCTTCTGTATTTTTTAAGAGTTAAACACCTTGTTGGTAGATATGGTGGTATTAAAAGGCAAACTAATGTACATTTAGGACAATTAAGAGTAGCCCAGCCAGAGTGGCTCAGTGGTTGAGCATCAACCTATGACCTGGAGGTCATGGTTCAATTCCTGGTCAGGGCACATGCCTGGGTTTTAGACTCAATCCCCAGTGTGGGGCATGCAGGAGGCAGCTGATCAATGATTCTCTCT